AATAAAAGTATGAGAAAGTATTTTTAATTAACGCTTAAAATAAACAAAATTGTAATCAAAATAATAATAATTCATTTATGATTAATAATGTTTCGTTAGTATATGAATTCAAAGTCGCGCCAACAGAAAGAGGATTTAAATTAAATTTAAAATAGTGTTTTCCTCTCATATTAATATAGTTATGAGTTTGAGTTTATTCGGGGTTTTATCAAAAGTACCGAATATACACTTAACTGTGCTTTCAATGGTAAGCATTGATTAAATATGCTTTGATTATTGTTTTGGTTTAATCAGGAATTTTTAATAAAATTGTGAATTTTATTAGTGATTAATAATCACTGATTATCAATTGGTTACACATATTTGTATAAACATATTGTTTCACAATAAATATGCTACTTTTTAATTCTATAGATTTATTTATTGTCTAATTAGTGACTCTAGAAAAGTCTAGATTCCATTTTTAAATCATAATAAGCCAATAAAATATCATTAACTTACTAGTCACTAAAGTATTGTATAATGGCTAAAAGCTCAAGACAATTGTGTTTTCAATTTGTAAAACAGGTCCATCACTTGCATCATAATTGGAAAACATTATGTTGACTGCGATCGCAATGGTTTGGATCAACACCACTATTTCAAAAACTGAAAGCCGACCAGAATTGTCTTAATCTATTTAGCTTAATAATCACATTATATTAATATAACGTAAATATTTTAATAATACCTTTGAAGTTGTATTTAAAAAGTTATAAAATACCATAAAAATGGTATTTTTTGTCTGAATTCAGAGAATATTACTTCACACATACAGTACAGTAACCAACTAATAGTACAGTAATTGTACACTCAATTAAGTATTAATTTTATTTTGTTTGCTGTTATAAAGTCAATATTACAAAAAATAAATACATTATTAATGCCATACATTTTACAAATTTGATGCATTTATTTTATTTACAAAAAGGTTAATCAAGTTTTTATCATTAAGTTTGCGTCAATAATGAAAAAATTAAAAATATTTGTTGCGTTTATGAGTCGGTAATTATCTTGAGTTCATATTTACGAATACATTTATCTCTACAGGCGGTGAACACATGCGACCCATCGCTGGCCAGACTATAGATTGCGTCGAAATCAGGTCCACTCAACTGAAACGTCTCGTTATCGGAGTCTAAATAGTGATAGACAGTCGACCCGTCGGCCCGACCGGCGAAGAATCCATTCCTCTCTTTATAATTCAATGACAACAACGAAAGAACGGGCGAAGAGCTGGTCCGCCAACACTTAACAATATTTTCGCTATTTCTCACATCAATTAACACTATTTCACCGCTTTGTAGACCAAACACAACACTGTATTCGTCCACAAATCGGATTGAATTCACGGCTGAATTGTTTTTTAATTCAAATACCTTTCGATAATAATATTTTAGTCAAAAAATACAAAAAATTAATTGTAAAAACTTTTAAAACCTTTTGATTGCTTTCCAATCCAACTCCGATAACAGTTCCCGTTTCGGTGCCAACAGTTAATAGTTTACCATCGGTTCCGACGGCCTTCTCGTGAAGAGGTCTGTGCCGAACGCCGAGGTCTACATCGGCTGCCATGGCTTGAATGGCACACGTATTGATGGCTTCGGTGGCACTCAATTGAATGGGTGTTTCCAAACAACTACTTGTACTGCAATCCCATAACTTGGATGAGCCGTCACGTGAAACGGTCACAAAATTGCGTCCG